CTCGCCCAGTGCAAGCGCCGCTCCACGCGGCACCTCCGGGCGCTCGCCCCACAATGCAGCGCTGCTCTGGCAGCCGCTCAGATCAAGACTAAACAGTTGGCTCCGTTTCAACACGGCTGCCAAGATTTGGCAACCAGAGAGCTGCGGGGAAGCAGCAGGCTGCTAAACCCTTTCACATTTTTAATTAGATCCACACACCCATGTCTTTGAGCCATCATAAATATACAGATGACACAGTGAGTATTATTCAGGGTTAAATACAAAAAAAAGGAGGGGGGAGCAAACTCTACCAGGGTGTACCTTATCTTAGGAAAATAATGTACCTATCACCAATTTGGGGCCAGGGGAAAAGAGGCTACGGGTAAACAAAGCCACGTCTCAGGGTGGGAAGCAGCCAGGATCTGGAAACCCAGGTCTCTGGTCTCTGGATGTGGACCTGGCTCGGAGATCACGGCCAGAAGGGGGCACTCTCGGCAATGCTCAGCCTGCAGCTGGAAGGAGTTGTTTTAAAGCCATGCATCCACCCTCAGCAGGACTACCCCAGAGCTATGGTGTTTGCACTTCTGCCCTACAAAAGCAACTCTTCAGGCCAGCGTTGTCTCGATTTTGTGACCGTGCCTCCTGCTCTTCCTTGTCTTGGGTATCCTGCACTGTAAAGCGCTTTCCGCTGCTTCTTATTCTTCCATATGCACTGCCACAGCTTGCTCCGCTGCTCCCGTGGAGCCTACCACTGCCTTCAGCTCCCGGGGCAATCGCCCAGCGAGAGTAAGAGAATTCCTCTCTCTACAGCCGGCTGCATTGCCGGCTCTGCCCTGTGGCTTTGGATGCCTGATTTCAAAGCCCTTCCCTTGGGCTTCGTGTTCTGAAAGATGCTGAAATAGCTCTGACTCCGCAGTTTGGCTCTAGGGTTTAAATTGGGCCACACGTACCAGGCCCACGATGCAGGAACACTCACTGTGTGATATGTATTGATTATTATGATTCGGAATATTGGTGGTCAGGCACCTGCCTCTTGGAGGATTAGATACCAAACAGCGACAACACTTGTACACTTTAGAATCTCTCTTCCCCACCCCATCTGTCCTCTCCATTGTGGCCAGGGCCACCCATGTCTCTCAGGCAACTGGCCCCACTCAGATTAACTTGCTCCAAGCCCACTGGGGCAGGGTTTGCCCCAGGGCCTGTGAGTGGTTATGCACTCCCTTAATTTTAAAGACATGTACAGAAGGAAATGAAACACTTGAAATGCCAGGAAAATCTCTCTGGTCGTCCTATCAGAGAGCACAGTTTATAAATAGAAGCGCCAAGACTATCAAACACGGGCTGCACTGGAACATCGTGTGTGCACGCACACACCCCGTTGGTGTCCTGTTTAGGGGGAACTCTGCATACCATCCAGAAACTCGCAGGGCATCTTGTAGATGCCCCTCAGTGATTGTTTTCCCCACCCCTCATTCTTCAGTCGTTTATTTTATTTCCCATGGGATGTGAAAATATACCAGTTTGACTAGAGTAATAGGCATTTATTTGCTTTGTACTTTTCCTACAGATAGGACAGGCAGACAAATGGGGATGACTTGGTCCAATTAAGTGGGCTGGAGATAATTTTTGACCCAAGTGGTGTATGTCCTCCAGCAAATGCAATGGCTGAGAACAACCTGTGGCTGGCAGGACTTGGCAATGCCATTGACCCCTGCAATCCCTTGCTCACCCAACACCTTACCTCCTTCTTCCCTGCATCCACCATACCAACTACAGAGAACTCTCTTTATTTGGGAGAAGAGAAGGCACAGAAGCTGTCTCCCCACCACCCACCCACACCCACATCCACACACACACCCTGAAGCACACCATGCACACACACACAGACACACACACACACACACACACACACACACACACACACACAACAGATCAGGGAATAGAGCCACCATGTGAATGATCTCTCATCTGGCAGTGACAGCAGCAATTGCTGCCACAGCCGTGGAAAGAGTGAGTTTGGATCCTGGCCAAGTTCCAGTACCTGCATGGTCCCAGTCAGGATTGGAGTAAGGGGCTATCCCTTGCTCATTACCAGCTATTTATACAGGAAGCAGCAGGTAACTTCCATGCAAGTAAAACTATGTCTAATCTGGACAAAGTTCTTCCTGGAGTGAGAGGTGTCAGACTGTGACATCGCAGGTCTTGCCCCTTTCATAAAGCAGGGGAGGTGGCACAGGCGAAGTAATGAATGCATTTCACATATTCAAGGTACATCAGTATTCTCAAGCTATTGTAACAAAACACCATGGACTAGGAGGCTGAAAACATGGAAATTAGCTTTCTCATAATTCAGGAGGCTAAGAAGACCAAGGTCAAGGTCTTAGCTGATTTGCTTTCTCCATCGTGGGTATAGACAGTCAACAGCCTTTCCTTGGTGTGATAACTGGAGGAGAGAGGGAACATTCTTTTGTCTATCATTAAAACACTAATCCTAATCCAGTCACATCAAGACCCTGCCTTCATGGCCACATTTAACTTTAATTATTTGCTTAGAAGTTTCAACTTCAAGTATAACCACAATAAGGGGAGAGTTAGGAATGGAAATTTCTGGTCCATAATAAAAATACTTCCTTTGTGATTAGAAAAGAGATGGAGTCAAAGTTGGGGTTCTACTTTCATGGTGCTGCCCACCAGCTGTGTGACTTTCCTAGAAGCTGACAGCCAGCACCCATTCTGATTGGGCTCATCAGCGAGGACACTGGTGATGCTGTTGTGGAGTGGGGACACTGGTCAAAGCAACTAACATGCACACGTCATTCACATTGTTTCCACTAAAGGATGATTTGCTTCCTCGCGTTCTACCATTAGATTGGATCTTATGGAATGGTCAGAAATGGTCAAGTGTTACAATTTCACTCAGTGCAAGCTAGGCGATTATAAAATCCTTACTGGTGAGTGTGATGCTTTGCTTGATTCTCTCCTTGCTGTCCTGGGGACTGAGTCAACATTGACTGTGCATGAGCATCCAAGGTTCTGGTGTCATCATGGTGGTCAGCATGGAATCGGACTTAGTAGAGAGAAGCAGGTAGAGGGAGCACAGACAAGTGAGGCAGAAGCTCCCTGGCTGCCTCCACCTTGTTGGACCAAAGGTGGGGACATCTGTAGGGGCCAAGGGAAGGGGCACACGGCAGCTGTATGCCTACCTCATGATGTGGTAAGGTCACATGTGGTACAATCAAGCCAATACTGGGGTTTTAATGCCAGCACTTCTTAAAACATAGTAAATGCTGGGCGGATCCCTACTTTCTCTAAGACTCTTGCCTCTAAGGATGGTCTGCACTGTGGGCCTCCTAGAGATGGTCTCAGTACCTGCCGCAAAGCCCGAGGGAGGACTCAGACTTCTAGGGGACAGGTCCTTGTCCCCTTTCTGCTCCAGACCAGCCATGGAATTGGGATTGAGGGTGGGAATACTGAATAAATGCAGGAAACAGAATTCCAGAGTGTCTAGGTCATCCCAGGGAAGACTTTAAAACCCCACCAAAGCGATCCAGCAGGAAGCCGGCTGGTGTTCCCAGAGCAAGCCACTGCCAGTCTCTTCAGGGAACCCCAGTAGCCAGAAAGCTCACTTATTCTGCCCCACACCCTGCACCATCAAAATAGTACAAGAGGACAGATAGGAAACAGCCATGTTCTTATGCCAGAAAATGAATTTTTCTTGTTTCTTTTTGACCAAAGAATGAAAAAACCCTGAATAAATTTCAAAGTCACAATAATACAGATTTTTCTTTGCTTATCCTGGGGGTGATGTTCTGATGACCCTATTGGAATTGCAAAATTCCTAAGTAAAAAATACATGTAATCCACCCCTTTGCAGCACATCGTGGCTTAATTTATTAGGCTACTTTAACCGTACTCAGAACACTCACATTAGCTCACAAATGGACCAAAGCATCCAACACAAAGCTACTTTTATAATAAAGGATTGAGTCTCTCATGTCATTCACTGAGTACTCTACTTAAAGTGGAAAACAGAAGGGCTGAGTGAGATGCTTTGACACCATTATAAGTTGAAAAATCTTAAGTGGAATCAACAAGAGCTGGGGACCTTCTATGGATTCTCTGAACTGCAGCAGAAAGAGTAACATTTTCATAGCTTTGCCTTGGTCAGAACACAGTATTCAATCTACTTTTACAGAGTACTGATTGTGCACCATGCTCTAGACCAAGCACAAGCCCAGTGAGGTAAAATGTCCACAGCTTCTGCCTCCGAGAACCTTGTTGCCCGAGCCCAGGCTAAGGGAAGGAAGGTCAAATTCCCCAGGCATCATCCCCACCTGGGAGGGGCATTTTGTGGAAGAGGGAACCCCATGCTCAGGAAAATACAGTCAAACCTGATGCCTTATAGATGTCTGCCAAAGTATTTAGCAGCCAGGGGTATTACGTTTATTAAACTTTTTCCAGTACTTAACATTGTCCTACAACCTGCAGGGAAGAGCAGCAAAATATGGTCTTCCTCTTCTTTTCCTGAGTTTAGAACGCAAAGGCTGGAGCAGCATAGATGCAGAAACTGCAACACAAATATTGTCTTTATTTATTTTCATTTAAACATAGCTCACCTCTTTGAACTTATTTCCAAGAAAGGGTTTCATAGACTCACACAAAATGCATTTAAACAAATAATGTCTAGGTATAGAAACTCAAAATCATAAAAAGGAGGAGACATATCATCAGCTAACCATTAGCAATCACTCCACTTTTCTGCCAATGTATCTCCCGGCTTCCTGGAAGCCAAGGTGAAGAGAAAGTATGGTTGATGTAAACTTTTGTTTACATCT